ATCACCAGTCTTATTTCTTATATGGGTTATTTGCTTCCTCTCCTGTTTTTCTTTTGTCAGTTTGGCCAATGGTTTATCAATTTTGTTGATCTTTTCAAAGAACAAGCATTTGGTCTTGTTAACTCTTTCAACTGTTTTTCTATTCTCTGTTTCATTTAATTCTGCTCTAACTCTTATTATTTCCTTTCTTCTGGTGCCCAAGGGCTTCTTTTGCTGCTCTTTTTCTACTTGTTCCAGTTGTAGGGTTAATGTTTTGATTTTGGTCGTTTCTTCTTTTTGGATGTGTGCATTTATTGCTATAAACTGACCTCTGAGTACTGCTTTTGCTGTGTCCCAAAGGTTCCTGTAATAATTTTTTTTAAGTTGGCATTTATTGAGCATTTGTGCCAGGCAATATTCTGTGCTTTACATACGTTATTTAATTTAGTCCACTCAAGAACACTGTGAAGTGGGTGTTATTATTATTCCTATTTCACAGATGAGGAAACAGAGGTTTAAAGAGATGAAATTTGCCTTAGATTACCATACTAGTAACACATGGAGCCAAGATTTAAACCCACAATGCCTGACTCCAAAGCCTATGTTATTAATCATTTTCAAACAATTTCCTCAGTTTATGACTTCACAATCTCTCATCTGGACTACTGTGAGAACCTCTAGTTTTGACTCCCTTAAAACTGCCCCCAAATACCAAATATGTAAAATGCCAATCTGACCATATCTCTCATCAGTATGTTGATGTATTTGCTCCATAACACCCATAGGATAAAGCACAAGCTTCTTGGTTGATATACTATATGTCCTCTGTGATCTGGCCCTCGCACCTACTCCTGCAGCCTCTTCTCCACTACTGTCCACATCAATTTAAACTCCAGGAACACCAAATTGCTCGTAGCTCTATACACATAACAGGTTACTTCTCTTCTCTGTGCCTTTGCTCATGTTGTTCCTTCTGCCTGGAATGCCATTGTCCTTACCCCTTACTCTTTCATCTGGCTCACTCCTACTCATCCTGAAGACCTAGCTCAGGCCTTACTTCCTCCAGAAAGCTCTTCCCACCTCAGCCTAGTTGAGGATATCTGTCCCACCTCAGTGTATCTATCATAACCTGTGCCTAGCTCTATCACTGTACTCTGTTTCATAATTATGTTATCTGTCAGTATCTCCCCTTTTTCCCTCTCCAAACACGTTTACTCCTAACCCAACCCTAATTTTGTTTAGGTTTCTCTCTTCCTCCTGTGCTTCAAAGGAAGCCTACCCACAGCTCAAGAGGTGGATCCTGATTAGCCTAAGTCAATTCCCCTAAAAAGTCTTACTGGTTTGGGATGGACCTAAGAGCAAAGTTGGTCCAATCATACTAAAGATTTATAGTTCATAGTTGGGTGAATGGTTTCTCTTTCCCTCTCCTGCTGGGTGTTATACTAAGGGAAGCAGGTAGCTCTGATTTACTCTAGCAATCTTAGTCATGAAATAAGCCTTAAGATGAAATAGCATTGTGAGTGGAAAAGCTAAGAGATAGAAAGGACCTGGGTATTAAATAATTGATTAAATTTTGTAATCAACCAACCCCGGAGCCTGCCTTACCTCTATATGTTCTGTTATGGGAGATAATAATCTGCTTATTGCTTAAGTGAGTTCCAAGCTTCTACTACTTACAGCCAAAATCATACTAACTGATATAAATAGTAGGTACTGAATTAATATACAATTCCCAATACTAAAGAAATGATAACTTCAGTAATTTGACTAGGTTATGCTTTGCTGAAACAGTCCCTGAAACAGAGGAAAAATGCAAATACTTGGAAACGAGAGATAAGGAATGCCAAGAAAATACAGATTGAACAAAGGGACTGCGGTAGAAATGTGCATGGTGATTTCAGAGGCTAGTGAGTGGAGAAATCTGGCTACAGTAGATGGTTTATAAAGGAAAATAAAATTAGAAAGGTAGGTAAATTTGCAATGTGGAAAACCTTCAATAGTTTCCTCCTGTTATTTTTTAAAAGGTGTATAATTTGGTTTCAACTTTATCAGTAATGTTTTCTTTCTTAGGCTAGTCAGGGGTACTTTTTATATGTCTTCAATATTTCATTTTTAAAAGAGATATAATTCCATTAAAAGGCATTAGTTTGGTTAAAAAAAATTAATTATTTTTTCCATTTGCAATTGTCGAAGAATATCTTGATTCAAATTAACTTTCACCCTCTAAAATGAAACCATTTTACTAGTAAACAAATAATTTTCCATTGAAAATAAAGTACTACATCAGAGTGAATTCTGTAAAATTCTAATACCTCAGAAATGTAAAGATCAGCTTGTTTTAGTAACTCTCCAATAATTAGAACATTTGAAGTAGTGCCATCTCCTGTAATATCATCCTGGGCCGTTGCTACTTTTGCTATCAAGGAAGCTGTTGGGTGTTGAATTTGCTGGAAAAAGTAAGCAACAGATTAAAAATGAGAAAGGATGTGATAAAGAAGTAGTCCACCAAAAACAAGATAACCTAGAGGTCAACAGTAAAATTAAGAAATGAAATGTTTCATTCTGCAAGTTTACAAGTTTTGTATTAATACTTATTAAATGTCAAGTCCAAAATTTAAAAATTGAGAACTAATGATGTTTGAACATTTTTAAAAGTCTTTGCTTCAGAATGCAATGACATTTTCCAAATAACATTAAATCTTTCAATCTCAAAGATGAATACATTTACTAAAATTGAGAAGGATTTTATTTTTCCATGACCACAAGGAATATAATGCAGTGCCTTTAAATGATGTTATTAATTGGAAGTATCCCTAAGTTTTTACTTAGACTATACAAAAATTTGAAAACAGCCAATAAACATTTTTTTATTGAGGTTTAATCTAACAAGTGTATCTCAAGACTGCAGTATTCAGCTGACAGCCTTGGTTTAAAAACATACAAGTTATACTATATTCTTAATTGAAGTTTATTAAGGCTTATTAAAGTCAGCAGCATCAGCTCACCATCTCATGGAGCAGCACGTTGCCATCTTTGGTGAGTTTGATGTCACCTGTTCCAGAAACAAGCCTGTCCAGAGAACATTGATTTTATTAACCTCACATGGCAGGAGTCAAGAAGGCACTCCCAAAGCTTGTCATTCCACTATCTTTAATACAGGGAACTGGGCTTGGAAAACTTCCATCGTACCATGGGGGACACCATAGTAGTTACCACCATTTGCAGGCCACAGAATCATTTCTCTCCATATGGACTGCTATGGCTATTTTATTCCAAATGAATGATTTACAGGTTTAAAGAGCAGCTGATGGGCTATGAACAGTACTTGTTCAAAGAAAAGTACTTAGAAGTCTACAAGCCACAAATTTGCAAATTTCCTGCAGATTTTCTATTTTGGTGAATGTTATCATTCATTCAGTTACTCAGCTTAGTTTCCCTCATCCCTCATATTTACTGTATCACCAAGTTCTGTCAATTCTACAGCCTATCTCTTGAATCTACCCCATCTTCTCCATTTCCACTGTAATCATCATTTCTACCCTAGACTACTTTGACATTCTCCTGATATCTCTGAATTTGAAATCACCTTCCACATTACATTTATCTTTCTAAAAGGCAATGTGATTGAGTCAAGTCCCTCATCAAAAATCCTTCAATGATATTATGTTCTCCATCACGTTCAAAGTAAAATCCAAACTATTTAGCAATGACATACTTGACTTTTCCCAATCTGGTTTCTGTTATCTTTCCTGCCTCATCTACCACTTTCCCACAAGCAAATCTTGTGGTTCCCTTAATACATCATGCTTTGCTTTTGTTTCTATTGGCTATACACCACTAGGCTTTCTTGTTCCTGAAGGTGCTCTACCTAGAAGGATCTTCCTCCCTTCTCCAACCGGTGAACTCTTATTCTTCTTTCAAGATTCTGATCATACCTCATCTGTTATTTGAGGAGCTTTTCCTTCTCACACCAGTAATTAGTCCCTTTCCCCAGAAAATCACACAGAGATAGAGATATAAATTATTAGCACATCTGTCTCCCCCTACCGTATCTCAAGAACGGAGACTCTTCCTTGGTCATTTGTGTTTCCAATATCTAGCACAGTTACGTTTACAGTTAATTTATTCCTCTGAAGATTTAGCTCTCCTCTTATACGCATTTCCCCTCACCATTCTTTTTCCCTCACCCTCTTCTGAAGAAAATGATGGTGCTAAATAAATACATGCTGAGAGGATGAACAGATATGAAGGCCCGTAGGCATAGAATGACCAAGTGACATGCCTAACGACTCACAGCTAGAAGGTTATGGAACTTGAATTTTGAACCCATGTTTGCCAGGCTCCAAAGCACCTGCCAAACAAACTCAAAATTATCTGTTGAGTTTACAGACTAAGGGCATATAGCCTCAATGACCAGGGGAGTTAAATGGCTTACGTTACTAATGAGACACTGAATGAACTGACTTTCTAATTGCATATGAACATCAGAGCGAAAAGTTGGTGGGGTGGGGAGTTTCCACAGATTCACTCATGAGGCCCTTTCCTAGCGAGGCTTTTCTACTCCTCCCCCATCAGGCTGGAGACGATCTCAGGACAGGAATGAGAACGAGGGAAAACAAGCCCACAGGTGTGCCCACATCGCTCCAATCTCTTCGCGGAACGTCCGACTCAGAGAACTCCCGTACACCCCACCAACCCCCGGCGCCTTAACCGCCGCTCCAACCGCCGCCTCACATTTTCATGGTGCCCTTAGGCCCCAAGTTGGTTCGCAGCACATCCTGCAGCCCTCGGGCGGCGCATACATTGACGGCCAAAGCCGCTTGGGCCCGCGCCACCTCAGCTTTGGAGTTTATGGCCTTGACCGCAGCCATACAGCAGACAATCAAGGCAGCTACCTCACTGGCAAAACGAGCCTTAGCTGCGGTTCTGAGGGTAGCTCCCGCGCCACGCCTCACTCTTCCGAGCCTCAGCCAATCACAGCCAGGACAGGAAATGACGTTATCAAACATCGCCGGGACGGAAGTCAGAATCGCCCTGGGTTGGGTCGCAAAGATGGCGTCCTCCGCCTCCCCTCGTACTTCGTCAGGGAAGCGAGTGGTGAATCAGGACGAATTGCGGCGGTTAATGAAGGAGAAGCAACGTTTGAGCACCAATCGGAAACGAATAGAATCTCCATTCGCAAAATACAACCGTTTGGGGCAGCTGAGTTGTGCCCTATGTAACACCTCGGTTAAGAGCGAGCTTCTGTGGCAGACTCACGTCCTGGGAAAGCAGCACCGAGAGAAAGTGGCCGAGCTGAAAGGCGCGAAGGAAGCCACCCAGGGATTGTCCGCCAGTGCAGAGCCTCACTCCGTCAAGAGGAAGGCGCCGGACGCAGACAGCCAAGATGCTAAGAGAGCGACGGCCTCCACGGTGCCTCAGGTACAGCCCTCCACATCCGCTTTGCCCACCAACTTTGCTAAAACAGGAAAGGAGTCCACTGAAGCAATCGCCAGTAAGCCTTCAAGACTCGGTTTACTCCTTGATTATGAAGATGAAGAAGAGGATGAGGGGGAAGAGGAGGGAGAAGAAGGAAAAAAGGAGGACGCTAGCAAGGTGCCGCCGGACGCACAGGGCAAGGAACACTCACTTGCCTCCTCTCGGGAGACAACAGCTAGTGTGCTGCCAAATGATTTCTTTGATACAAATCCTCCCAAGGCCCCCTTAATCCCTCATTCAGGGTCAATTGAGAAAGCAGAAATACATGAAAAAGTGGTGGAAAGGAGAGAAAACACTGCGGAAGCGTTACCGGAAGGTTTTTTTGACGACCCTGAAGTAGATGCGAGGGTGCGAAAGGTTGATGCCCCAAAGGATCAGATGGACAAAGAGTGGGACGAATTTCAAAAAGCCATGAGGCAGGTCAACACTATTTCCGAAGCCATAGTTGCTGAAGAGGATGAGGAGGGACGGTTGGACCGGCAGATTGGGGAAATCGATGAGCAGATAGAGTGTTACCGTCGGGTAGAAAAGCTGCGGAATCGCCAGGATGAAATAAAAAATAAGCTTAAAGAGGTTTTGACCATAAAAGAACTGCAGAAAAAGGAGGAGGAGAATGTTGACAGCGATGATGAGGGAGAACTGCAGGATTTGTTGTCTCAGGATTGGAGGGTGAAAGGGGCTTTGTTATAGGGTTTCAAAGACCCCAGATTTTTAAGGTCCTCTACTTTTGTATAGAAAATGTTGTCTCTTGGTATGATCTCAGTTACTCCATGGCTAGAGACTTGGCTACTTAACTGTGCTACTGAGATAAAATGAGCCGGTGAAGGGCAGCACTTTGGAAAGTGGTGTAAAATACTTGTGAGGTAAAGTTGTTTTTCAAGTTTTTGAAGTTTTTCACACATTTACAGGTTTAAATGTATAACTAACTTGTAAAATCTGTAAGCTGTAAATACTTGCACATAGTTAAATATATATATTTACTTAAGTAATCTGTTCTGAAGTTTATGAATAGAAGTCAGTCCAACAGACAAGCTTTTAGATGAATATAAATGTGCTATGTGGGATGTATATGGCTTTTTCTGACTCCTAAATCAAACTCAAATGGGTTTTTTTTAAAGAACATTTCTCATAAACACGTAAGTCATTCTAGGTTAATCACTTCTCTGAGTATTCTGTTTTCTTTTTTCAAAAACATGCTTTAGAAGAACATGGAGAAAAATACATGCCAAACATGACCAACCTCCTCAAACCCAGAGTTTCTCTTGACTAAACCAATAATTCTCAGATGTAGGTGCACATGAGAATCACCTTTGAAACTTAAAATATACATATATGTATTAAAACTACGCACATACATAATACATATATAATATACATTTTTTTTCCCCTTATATTAAAAAAACCAAGCCCGTTGCTAACTGATAGCAACCCTATAGGACAGAGTAGAACTGCTCCATAGGGTTTCCAAGAATTGGTTGGTCAATTTGAACTGCCAACCTTTTGGTTAACAGCCATAGGTCTTGTCCACTATGCCACCAGGGCTCTGTGTGTGTGCGTATATATATGTGTGTGTGTGTGTGTGTGTGTTTTTTTTTTTTTTTTCAGTTTCCAAACGGTTATTTTATCAGATTGTTTGAACATTAAATTTATCTTTGTTTGCAATCCAAAATAGTTACCTGAAGTTTGCTGTTTTGTGTGTATGTGTGTGTGTTTACTTTTATTGTATATTTGTTTTCTAAACTCCTTGGCACAATTTTCTGGGGGCATTCAGACTGCCACAATACAAGTCAGGAGAGAGCTTTCTTTTTGTGTTGCCAATTCCGAGCGTTTATAACTTTTGGTTTGTCCGGGTTGTGGCTTTTTTTTTTTGAAGTCTGTATTCTTTATTTGTAACAAATGTATTTTTATTTTTTCTACATTATCTAAGCCCAGAGTTTTCTTTTGTATTTTTTTTTAATGTGCCAGAGTCCTACCCTTAGACAGAGCCCTGGCACAGTGGTTAAAAGCTCAGCTGTTAACCAAAAGTTAAGCAGTTCGAATCCACCAGCTGCTGCTTGGAAACCCTATGGGGCAGTTCTACTCTGTCCTATAGGGTCACTATGAGTCGGAATCGACAGCAACGGGTTTGGTTTTTGGTTTATATTTGTGTGTGTGTGTGCGTGTATATATATGTTTTAATGTGCCTGTGTCCTACCCTTAGATTCAGTAAGTCTGGAGAGGGGCCTCGACATCTGTATTATTTTTGAAAGCTCCCTAAACCTGTTGCTGTCGAGTCAATTCTGACTCATAACAACCTCCCTAGGTTATTATATACACCAAAGATGGAGAACCACTATCCTAAATCCAGAACGCATTTATATTTTTCAGGTTTTGCTTTTTCCTTAAATAACATATTCCATAAGTTTACTAATCTCTTGTATAAAAGAATTATTGCCTTTTATTTATATCTCATCCAGTCTTAAGTTTTATTCCTTCTTGTGGTAAATTATGGTTCAGAATTACAGGCTTTATCTATTATAGGAAGGATATTTAATTTGTTTTTCTAGCAGTAACAATTGGCTTGTGCTGGTCATTGATAGTTTTAATTACCCTCCCTTTGGAGATAGAGGTATTCAAATAGGAAAAAGGAATTAGCAGTGTTGCAGGGATAGAAATGCATAGAACATATTCAAAGAACAGTGAGCAATAATAATAGCTAAGGCATATATAGTTCTTACTCTGAACCAGACAAGGTTCTATGTGCTTTACATATATTAACTCAGTATAGTTTGGCTAAAGCCCAGGTTTTATGGAAGGGAGTACCAAGATATAAAGTATATAAAGCCTTGAATGTTAGGTGAAAAAATTCCTCCTGCAGGCAATATGGAAAAAACAGAAGATTTAGAGCAAAGAAGTCTGCAAAGAAATATTATGGAAGATTAGGTGCAGTATATAGAATGGAATGAACATGGGGAGGGGAGAAGAAAGCTGGGACACTAGTTGGAAACTGGTTTTTCAAAAGACTTTGAATGGGTATGGATTGGGAGAAAAGGAATAGATTGAAATAATTTCACAGGAAGAGCTGACATTTTAGTGACAGACTAGAAGTGGAAGAAGAACAGGAGGGATAAAACTGGGATCTAAGGTTTTTTTAGTGTGGATGACTAAAAGTCATCTAACACTGAGCAGTTGCTTTATGCCTCAAATTATGAATTATCCTCTGACTTAGGCACAAAGTTTTTGCTTTCTTGAGCTGTCAGCTGACCCTTTAGAGCAACTCTGATGACACAGAGGACAGGCTTGCCAAAAATGTGTGAACTCACACTCAGAGTTTTCCATCATTTATGACTTTATTTCAGAATGTGAAAAAGTACAAAGGTGGGCTTGAATGGTGGGCCCAATTCTACTTGGCCTAAGAGGTTAGACTTATGATCTAGAGCAGCACTGTCCATTACAATATAATGCAAGCTACATATATAATTTAAAATTTTCTAGTGGCCACATGAAAAAGCAAAAAAAAAAAAAATGGAATTAACTTCAATAATGCATTTTATTTCATCTAAAAGATGACATTCAATATGTCTTTTTTTTAAATTATTTGTAAGATATTTTACCTTTTTTTGTACTTTTTTAAATTGTGCTTTAGGTGAAGGTTTACAGAGCAAATTAGATTCCCATTCAATAATTTATACACAAAGTGTTCCATGATATTGGTTGCAATCCCTGTGATGTGTCAGCACTATTTCCACCCTGAGTTCCCATTTCCATTCATCCGGTTTTCCTGCCCCTTTCTGCCTTGTCATCTTTGCTTTTGGGCAAATGTTGCCCTTTTGGTCTCCTATAGTTGATTGTTCTAAAGAGCACTTTCCTCACAGGTATTATTGTTTAGTTTATAGGCCTGTCTGTTATTTGGCTGAATGGTGACCTCTGGGAATGGCTTCAGATCCAAGTTAGAAGGGTGACTAAGGGTCATCGTCTTGGGAGTTCCACCAGTCTCTGTCAGACCAGTAAGACTGGTCTTTTTTATGAATTTGGGTTTTGTTCTACATTTTTCTCCAGCACTGTCCAGGAACCTCTTTTGTGATCCTGGTCAGGGTAGTTGGTAGTGGTAGCCAGGGACCATCTAGTTCTGGTCTCAGGCTAGTGGAGGCTATGGTTCATGAGGCCATTAGACCTTTGGACTAATTGCTTCCTTGAGTCTTTGGTCTTCTTCACTCTCCTTTGCTCTGGATGGGAAAAGACCAATATTTGTATCTTAGATGGCTGCTAACAAGCTTTTAAGACCCCAGATGCTACTCACCAGAGTAGGATGTAGAACACTGACTTTATGAGCTATGTTATGCCAGTTGGCCTAGATGACCCCCAAGACTACAGTCCCCAGCCCTCAAGCCCAGTAACTCAGTCCCACAAAGTGTTTGGTTATGCCTAAGAAGCTTCTCTGTGCTCCCCATGTGCTCCATTGTATATATGACTATACATGCAGTACATATGAATATATATGTAGAAATATCCAACTTGGTCTATATAGGCACATGGATGTACTCCCATACGCCCTCCCATTCCTATTCAGCATACATATCTGCGTATGTATCCACTCATAAATTACCGTTTGCTATTACTATTGTTGCAGGGTTGTGTATGTTGCAGTATTTAGCATAGTTGCCTTTTATTCTTGCATATCTTATGCATCAGTTAAGTCCTGTCAGTTCTGTCTCTAAAATATGCCTAGAATCTGTCCATGTCTTTCTGTCTCCTAGCCACCAGCACTCATTGTTACCTATTCCCTCGATCCCAGCCACAATCTATTATCAACAAGAATCCAGAGTGATCTTTTGAAAATTTAGACCAAGCTACTCTGAGCCTCCATCACGTTTAGAAAAAAAATAATCCAAGCCCTGATTAAGCCTACATGACATTCAGGGGTTGCTAATTCATATATCTACTACTATGAACTAATGAACACAAGCCCCTGTTAAAGTGTGGGAAGGCATAACTGCTCTATGTTGAAATCAGTTGTCATTCAGGAATAATGGCCTGGCATGGTTGGGTTTTCTTTAATTTCAAGAGAAATTGCAAATCAGGATAGTTTTTATGTTTTTAGTAAAGTTCAGAATCACAGTGTGGGCTGAACGTGATGTGTGGGTCCCCACTTGGAGACCTACCACTCTTAACCTGATCTTTTACACTCCCCTTTATTTTCTGTGTCCCAGTTCTCACTAGCTAGCTTTCTGTCCCCCAGACATGCCAATTCAGGGCCTAGGTCCTTGCAGTTCCTTCTGCTTAGAACCTGACTTCAGATAACATGGCGGTCTTCTCATCATTCAGTTCTTAGATCTGATATCTCAGAAAGGCCTTACTAGATGACATAAACAGCCAACCGCCCACCTCCTGTCCGTCTCTATCACATTACTCTATTTGACAAATTCTTTACATTTCTGTGTGTGTAAGTTAATGTCTCCACACCAGAGTGTAAACTTAACAAGAGCAGGAAGTTTACCTGTCTTGTTCGCAACCTGAAATAATGCCTGGCATATAATAGGGCTTAATAAATATCTGCTAAATGAATAATAGCCATACAGCAGGAAGTTGCTTGGAAAAGAGGTTTAAAAAAAAAAAAAAGACCAAGCTAACTCATGGAAACCATAACTAGAACAGAAGTCAGTTCAGTGCTTGAATAAAGGACTAAGAAATCTTTTCCTGCCATGTTTCTCCCTTACTTCCCTGGCACAGGAAGCCCTTAAGTATTCTGAGAGCACACAGCAGCACAAGGAGCACACACAACAGCCTCTACAGTGCAGTGGGCCACCTCTGCATTTAACAGCTAATAGGAATTCCTCATGGCACCAAGCAAGCAAAGAGGGATGTCCATATGTTAGCAGGAACTAGTGGGCAGCCTTGATTGCCTAGAGGCCTCTTAACTGGAGAGCAGGGGGAAGAAAGTGATCCAGTAGCAGGGTAAGATCAAAGAGTCAGCAAGTATACTCTGCCTCCCAGCTGCTCTCAGCCCTCAGTCCCTGTTCTCTGCCATCACCATTTCCTCTGGCTCGCTCCTGTTCCTTGGCAGTCAAAGCTGTTTCAGAAAGAATCTTTGCACTCAGTCATCCTTCACTGAAAGCGCTCCCGTCTCTCAGAAGAGGAGTTCCATCTGCCTGCCTCTCCATTTTGCTAACAGCATTTGGTAGGCTTCATATACATTTGGAGCCAGCGGTCACCTAGGGGAGCGGGGAGGACTACACTGATTGGGTAGTTGATGGTAGTGGTGGTTTTTTTTGTTGTGTGTTTGTTGTTGTTTTGCCAAATATGGTTAGAGTATCAATCAAGTCAGCTTGTCAGATTATTATTACTAATAGCTACAAGTTACTGGACACCTACCATGTGTGGCACTCTGCTAGGGCTTGACATATACCATCTGTAATCCTCACAACAACTCTGTAAAGTATATAATATCCTCATTTTAC